TGACAATATGTGTATTTATTTGTATTCAGAAATACAAATGTTGCAATCAAAATACAAATATAAATATTGGTCTAGACGCACAGCCCTACGCTTTAACACAAAGTACAGTGGAATGTATGTGCCTTTAGGGGAAAGTTATCTGAGAACTTGAGGGTATGAAGCACAGAGATGTTTGACTTTTCTGGATGGTTTAGAACGTGGGGTTCCCTAGGATGGCTATCTTGACTAGAATGACATACTGGTACTAGTGCTACCTGTATTATCCAAGGCACATTGGGCACAGAAGTTTACTTTCATTTCACTATGACATCACAAGCTGCACTGCTAGCAAAGAAATCACACATCCGTAAGAAAAACCTAGAAAGTAAAGAGAGTAAGAAATGTATGTTTATTCTTGGGTAAGAAAGGTCTATTTTGGCACCATATGTGTGGATTTCACTCAGGGGTGGCCCTAGACTAGCTGCCAGCAACTGGCGCCCTAGGCGAACAATGCAATCGGCGCCCCCACCTCCAAACCCTTCAATGATATTGCACCCCCATTTGGCACCCCATTTAGCTAGGCGCCTTAGGTGACCACCTAGTTCGCCTATATGGACAGGACACCCCTGATTTCACTTAACTCCCAAAACTGCACTTACAAAACAAAAAACAAACTGGAAAAAAAAGTCAGTTGCTTATGTTGCTTTATGTTGGACTTTAAAAAAAGTTACCTGTGACTATTACATTTTGGACAGTAATGTATGGCAAGTATCACATGGTGCACTAAATGACAACGAATCTACATGTCTCCCTAACACAAGTAAATAAAAAATGAGAGATTGACCCTGCAGACTTTGTCCCTACAGTTAATAGTGGCATGTCTACACTATAGAGAAGATCGTCTCTTGGAGGTCGATCTTTTAGCATTCGATTTAGCAGGTCAAGGGTAGACCCCCCCCCACCAAATCATACACAGAGGGCAGCCCCCCTCCCCAGTGTTCTATACTCCTCATTCTGTGAGGAGTAAGGGAAGCTGACAGGAATATGAGCTCCCATCAGCCTCCTGCAGTGTAGACACTGCAACAGCTCAGTTTAAGATAAGCCAAATCAAGCTACGCATTTTGTGTAGCTGGATGGCATACCTTAAGCTGATCTGCCTGGTCTAGTGTAAACGTAGGCTAGGAGTGTTGTATGCTTAAGCTAATGGTGTAATTTGATTTTATATGCATGTTCTATGCATTGTTCATCTGCACCACACTAATGAAAGCTCCATGTCCATGAATTCAGCAGCATTTAATATTTAAATCCCGCAATAGGGTCCCACAAATTCTACAGAATGTTCAGTGTGAGATACTTTTTCATTAGTAGTTCCCAACTGTGCTTTTATCTGAATACTGTGTGGCTGGCCTCTTGAACTGTTATCATCTTTTAATACTTCTTATTAAGATTTATATCATGCCATTTTTTGGGGGGGGGGGGGGGTTTGTGGGACAAATTCAAAACATTAAGGCTTTCAAACACTGTGTCCAATGCAGATGAAAAGAAGGCAGCAGATTTTTCTCTCTGTTAGCATGGCATTTTATTTTATTCTTTTGTAATTGTGTTGGATGTTTTACACGTATTTTTAGATAGTTATATTAAAAGAAAAAGTGAGACTTTTTGAGCAAGATTCCAGCATTTCTAATTCACTCATAGGGGCCTACAAGACTTCTTAGAACTTTTTAACCATTGAATGGGCTCTGTAACAAGTTGTTAGCAGAATAATGGGCTTTCAATGTTAATGGTTCCTTCTCGATGTTCTGTCATGTATATGACAGGGAAGACTTCTCTCTCCAGACCATTGCCATAGACTAGTAGTTTGGTAAAAGGTCCACTGACACAAATGTTAAATGCAATAGGGGGAAAAAAGGCTTAATCACAAAAGAGAGATGATCTCTGTCATTCCTGTAGGTTCCACTGTATTAAACTCTGCAGGTTAGGGAGGTCCTGAGCAAAACCTGAATTATTTGTGACATGTTCTCTCTCGAGCTGGGTGAAAATTGCAGATTTGGCATCAAAAAACAATTTTGAGAATTTGTGTTGATTTGCCAAAAGTGAAAGAGAGACTTTTAAAAACTGAAAAGAAAACATTTTGTTTGGACATTTCTTCCAAATTAAAGATTTTTATGTTTCTCTTTAAAATGACTTTTTTAAAAAAATTTCCTTCAATTGTATTTAAACAAAAACATTACAAAGCTCAATTAGTGAATAATTTTGTTTCTGACAGAAGAAGACATTTTGTTGAACCCAAAATCATGTTTTCCAGTTTTTTCTATTTGCCATTTTTTGGTGGACCCAAAATATTTTTTTCTCAATTTTTTTTTCATTGTCAATGAATCAACCCCATCTCCCAGATATTCACCTCATGTGTTGCTGTTGCTCTTTTGTCAAGTGTGTCTGGTTATTATCCAGACAAAAAAAAATGCCTTGCAAATAATTGACTAGATCAGTGTCTAGGGATTAACCTGAGAGAATCCACAAGTCAAACTAATGAACCACACAAATGTCATTGGCTCTCCATTTTCTTTCATCTGCTGTAGCTAAGCCAATTATTAGAAGACCAAGAAACACTATTTAGATATGCATTAAAGAACCCCTGGATGTCAAATACTGAGGTAATAAACATTATGATGAATGGCCATGTCTAATTACAGCTATCTCTTGTGTACAAAAATACATCGCCAACTTAGGCTCACAGTGGAAGAGGAAAAAGAAAATAAAGTTCGTAGCAGAAGGGAAGATATAATTGCAGATCTGGGATAGCTATGCTCAGAAATGTCAGTGGTCAGTAGCCAGATGCTGAAAGGAAAATAATACTATGGAGTTGTCATGTTCTAAAGTAATTAAAAACCAGTTAGAAAAGTTACATCTCAATTATTTTCAGATGACATAACTGTACTGGTAGCCAAATCCTGGGCATGATGCCAAAAATGGGGGAAAATCAGTATGTTTTTCCCCACCAACCATACTGTGCATGGGAGGTAGTTGTTTCACTTCCCACATTAGTTTAGCTCAAGAGAGGGCAGGTAATCTCAGTGTTAAAGCACCATTGTGAGAGAGGAAACATTTCAGATGCCAGGAGTGAAAAACCAAGACACTCAATTGTCTATGATAACTAAAAAAGAGAAGGGGTCACTTCCATGGGAACAGGCATAAGTGCTGTGCCGATTGTGTCCTGGGGGATGATCTCAATTTTTTCCCATGGAAGTAGATGTACTCTTAAAACAGAAAAAAATATTTTGAATTGTTAGCAGCCCCGGGTGCAAGTGGATGTGATCCAGGGCTTGTGAGACTTTGTTGTCTGTAATAAGCAAGCATAAGTCAAAATGCCCACCCGAATAGGCTTGAAATGAGAATATAGCAGTTATCAGATACTGTTCTTGGATTGATGTTGCTATTTAACATGGTTTCCAGCAAGTCATTTATAAAATTAATGACAGCTGCTCAGTTACCATAGTCTTTCTCTTGTGCTCTTCATTTCTTAAGAATAAAAATGGGCAGAACTTAATGTGTGAGTTGAAGCAAGCAGTGGAAAGTTTCTCCAGCTATGTGTCTTTTTGGCAAAGGGTGGCTCAATATTCCCATCTACCAAGTCTTCCCAACTACTCTCCTTCCCAAAACATGCACTATTGAGTAGTAAAGTATCATACAGTTGTCTTAGAAGAGGAACTGGGCCAAAAATATACCTCAGGACCTGTTTTGGGAGTACAGATTCTTCTGCATACTTTGACAGAGTTTTTGGCCTATTGGATGGTGGAAGTAGTAAATGTGATGTATCCTGATTTTAGGAAGGTTTTTGATACAGTAGCACATGCTATTCTCATAAGCAAAATAGGGAAATATTGTCTAGATGAAACTAGTGTAAAATAGAGGCAAACAGGTTAAAAAACCGCACTCAAAGAGTAGTTCACCATCAAACAGGTGGGATGCATCTAGTGGGGCCACACAGAGGTCTGTCCTACGTCTGGTGCTATGTAATATTTTTTTATTAATAGCTTGAACAATAAAGTGGAGAGGATGGTTATAAAATTTGTGGATGGCACTAGCCTTGACAAACTGGAAACTTGGTTTGAAGTCCACAAGAGGAAAATGTGAAGTACTACCTTCAGTGAGGAAAATCAAATGCACAACTATAGCATGGAAAATAAGTGTTGAGTCTGTAGTACTACTGAAAACCATGTGGAGTTTATAGTGGATCACAGATTGAAAATGAATCATCATTGTAATGCCATTTGGGAAAAGTTTAATATTAATCTGAGGTGTATTAACAGGATTTTCATCTGTAAAAGAAATTTGGATTGTATAATAGATACCTCATCTCCCCAAATTCATCTTTATGCTAGCTA